ATAATACATGAAAAGTTCTTACAAGTGCTTGGAGCAGGCCTAGTGCTCAATAAATGGAGGCATTTCACTGATGACAAGGGTTATTATTGCACATTACAAAATAAAATCATGTCGAACGATACTTTAAATCCTCGGGACTTGCTGTGTGGTTTGTGAACCAGCAGCATCTGCTTCACCGAGGAGCTTGTCAGAAATGCAGGAGACCAAGCCTCAGCTCAGACCTGCAGGGTCAGAGTCCCATTCACAGGATCCCCAGGTCACTCCTGCCTACTTCTGGTCTGGGGAGCAGGAGTCCACATGCCAGGCTGCTCAAGAGACCAGCCCCACAGGCCAGGACAAGTGCAACCGGCCCTGTTTCCACAGTGTCCTCTCTCAGTTCTAGATGGAAACACAGAGTTGGTATTCGGTCTCTGTGAGGCTGAAATGAATGGTGACCTCCGAGTTAATTAAATACAATGTACCTCACTGTCCAAACATATGTACTCTTGCTATCACTGATAAATTTTGTTATCAAATAAGAACACATTTTCAGTGGCTATCTTATGTACTGAAAAATACAGGCCTTACTTCATTATCTTAGGTAGAGTTTTTCATCCATAGCGAATCCACAGGGAGAGTAATTTTTTCATTGAGCACAAAAGACAGGTCCCCATATCGCTAGGGCAATGTTGCTGCTGTAAAACAAAAGAGGAGAGATCAGAAGGGGAAGGAAGTAAGTTAATTGTCACTGTGTCAGTCCACCCACACTTCACGCTTCACAGGAAGAGCTCTTCCCACCTACCGCCCTGTCACCAGTAAGTACTTAAAAATACAGGTCTTACTTCATTATCTTAGGTAGAGCTTTTGATCCATAGCCAATCCATAGGGAGAGTAATTTTAGCATTGAGCACAAAAGACAGGTCCTCATATAGCTAGGGCAATGTCGCTGGTGTAAAACGTGCTGATAAACTGAGATCAGAAGGGGAGGGAAGTAAGTTAATTGTCACCGGTTCCGTCCACCCACACCTCACGCTTCACAGGAAGAGCTCTTCCCACCCAGCGCCCTGTCACCACATCTGCAGGGCACTCCTGGGGAGGGGGGCTGGGTAGAAACTGCATTTCAGACACACCCGCTCTGCACTCCACAGGGACGACTGTCCTGGCATCCACCTGACTCACCCATTCTTTCCACGGCACCAGCTCAGGCCAAGCTGCCTCCTGCCACCTACATCTCTTAACCACTGGTGTCCTCACTTTCCTGCTTCTCTTGAGGACACAGCCTGGCAGACAGGAGCTGTTAGCACAGGAGCATCTACTTCTCCCTCTGGCACTGAGGGTCGCTCCTCTGTCCCTTCTGTCTGCACCACAGACGGAGAAATTCTTTAATGCTTTCCCTTTATTTACCAGGTGCTCATGAGAATTTTCTTTGTTCACAGTCATTCTCAGGGAGGTAAAGTTTAAAATATCAATTTCCAGGGAAAAAGACAAAGATGTTTTTTTATCTTATAAAATATCCAGCCAAGACTTTGGAAAAAAAAGTCATACACTGGGATGCTGACACCAAAGTCAGATTTGGGTCATCTGATATATGTTTCTTTGACAGTGACACCTGTCATCAGTGGCTGACAGTGATGCCCACCCCTCCACCTGAATCTCAAGAGTAACTTTCATGAATCTGAAGAAGCGAACACTTACTCCTGTTTTCACTGAGACATCTGGGCATTGAGTCCTCACTTTCCTGTCTTTCTCTTGGGACACAGCAGGATGCCACTGTGGGAAGCACTCATCTGGGCTCACAGCTGCTTCCCAACTATTTCAACTCTTGAAGAGAGAGCAAAGGAATTCCTTAATGCTGCATCTTTATATAGCAGATGTTCATACAGATTCCTCTTCTTTGCTTACAGTTGGTTTGG